GTGTAGAGAAACTCATGGGATTGCTTGATGGAGTCTCCCACCCAGCTGAACCACTTCTATTAACTACTTGTATGGTAACAAGTATATATCATATATTTCCTTTCATGGGCTTATCTAATTTATACTTTTAGAGAATAATTTTAAAATATTTTAATTACATTTTTTTATATTTAATTTTTATATAAATACAAAAATTACTTTATATGCCATATTACTACTAGTGTTACTACTAATGCTACAAACATACTTTCAATTAAACAGTTAATAAAATTAAAATTATTTTTAATTTTTTAATATGAATTAATTATAATAAATTATAATAAATATACTATTACGCCACAAGTTAACAATGATCTTCTTCAATTAATGGTAGAATACTTATTAGGATAAAGCAACCATGTGCTTTTCTGGACTTTGACCCTGCACACCCATTTAAATTCCCATAAATTAATTACACATTGATGGATAAATACGGCACTTTCCGTGGTAGTTCTCAAACTCTAATTCACCACCACAGCAGCCGCACTACTCTAGGGACAATGTTATCTATTGATGCATCATTGATTATTTGTCAGCTTGCATCAGTCTTAGCACCATTATGCAAAATTGATTCTTTGTCAGCTTCACGTTCATTGCATTACAATTGTGTCTGCTATCTCTTCTTAGAATAAACTGCCTCAGTCTGTGACTTTGTTGAGAGAGAAAGATATTATGGGGAGAGAAGAAAGTGTTAAGGCAGAAGCTGGTTTGCCTCTTTTTGACATCAAACAGGCAAAGGGGAGAGTTTGTCACCAGCTGTTTTCATCCACAGTTTTTTTTGGGATTTGTTTGATTTGGTTTTACAGATTGACAAACATCCCAGGGGCAGGTCAGCAAGGAAGAATGTCTTGGATTGGCATGTTCATCTCTGAACTCATGTTCAGTTTCTACTGGATCCTTACTCAACCTGTTCGTTGGAATGTTTCTTATTACTTACCGTTCAAAGACAGGCTCCTACACAGGTTTAATTTTTTTATTCAACTTTTGCAGAATATATATATAAATTAATTTTGTTCAACTTCTCTTTATCTGTACTAATAGTGATACTTTTTTGAGGAAGTACTAATAGTGATACTTATATACTCACTCTGGGATGGGGAAATTCAAACCTGGGACTTGTACACGACTAAAACCTTTTTCCCTGTTCTTTAATTAGTTCAAGTTCTCAATATTTTGTTCTGTCGGTTGTACAAACAGCTATGAAGAAAAGCTACCTGGAGTAGACATCTTCGTCTGTACAGCTGATCCAATAATGGAGCCACCAGCTATGGTGATTAACACCATTTTATCAGTGATGGCCTACAACTATCCTCCTGAAAAATTAACCATTTACCTGTCTGATGATGGAGGATCAAATTTCACATTCTATGCTCTGTTGGAGGCCTCTCATTTCTCAAAACGTTGGATACCCTTCTGCAGAAAGTTCAGTATTGAACCAAGGTCTCCAGAGGCTTACTTTTCTCAGCATTTTGATGCTCAAAACATTGTAAATCCTCAGGAATGGTTGGCCACCAAGGTGATTGGCTTTCTTTTGCTTAGTTTTTTAGGAATATTGTATGTAACAGAATTGATGAATTTTTTTGGTTTGTTTACAGAAACAATATGAAGATATGAAGGAAAGGATACAAGCAGTAATCAATAAAGGTAGTATCTCGGAAGAAATAAAGAATCAACACAAAGGATTCTTGGAATGGAATCATAATGTGACAAAACAGAATCATCATCCTATAGTGAAGGTAAATGTAGTTCTAACATCAAACCTTCAAAATTTTACACAACTTTTATTTGATTTACTTTGCTTTTTCCAGATTGTTATTGATGGAAGGGACAAGAAATCTTTGGATAATGATGGAATTCAACTGCCAACCCTCGTTTACTTGGCACGGGAAAAGAAACTGAATTGGCCTCATAACTTCAAAGCTGGAGCCATGAATGCACTGGTACTAATTCAAACATACGGTTGGGAATTGATATTGTTACGAAGAACTTGGTATTTTTTTTCAAAAGTGATATATGCAGATAAGAGTGTCATCTGAGATCAGTAATGGAGATATCATCCTGAATCTGGACTGTGACATGTATGCAAACAATACAGACGCCATAAGAGAGGCTCTTTGCTTCTTCATAGATGAACAGAGAGGCCATCAGATTGCTTACGTGCAGCATCCACAAAACTTTAACAACATAATCAAGAATGATATTTATGCGAATAACCCCCATGCCGTCAATAAGGTATGTATTCACAAACAAGAAATTAATTAATTATGCGTGGAATTGAATCATTTTAGTGGACTAATTATGTACCTTAAATCATGATCATATGAAGGTTGAACTTGCTGGATTGGGAGGATATGGAGCAGCCTTGTTCTGTGGAACTGGGTGTTTCCACAGACGCAATAGTCTTTGTGGAAGCAAATACTCTAACGAAAACAAGCAAGTATGGAATGTAAAGACACGAAAGGGTGATAAAAGAACAATCAATGAATTGGAACAAAGATCAAAAGTTCTTGCTAGTAGTATCTATGAGAAAGGCACTCAATGGGGGAAAGAGGTCTGCCTCTTCCAACTCTTGTCCTTTTTTCTTCTGCTTTTAGTTGTAGTTTAGTGATGAAAATTATCATGTTTATGGTTCCACAGATGGGATTGGTATATGGGTGTCCAGTTGAAGACATTGTTACTGGCTTGACAATCCAGTGTAGGGGCTGGAAATCAGTTTATTACAATCCAGAGAGGGAGGCTTTTCTAGGTGTTGCTCCAGCAACATTAGACATATGTCTTATTCAGTTCAAGAGGTGGTCTGAAGGCATGTTCCAGATTTTCTTCTCAAAGTATTGTCCCTTCATTTATGGACATAAGAAGATAAAACTGTGTGCTCAGATGGGCTACTGTATTTATCTTTTATGGGCTCCACTTTCGCTCCCTACTCTGTATTATGTCATTGTTCCTCCTCTTTGTCTTCTCCAGGGCATCCCTCTCTTTCCAAAGGTATTAATTCCCTCTCTTTGTCTTGCATTTAACCATTAACATATAAAACATACTAATGACTACTAAATGTATTGTCTCAGGTTTCAAGCCCATGGTTCATACCCTTTGTGTATGTGTTCCTATCCAGGAATATTTATAGCATAGTTGAAGCTTTAAGATGCGGCAGCACTATTAAGGCCTGGTGGAACCTGCAAAGGATGGTGATGATTCGGAGAACTACTTCCTTCTTCTTTGCATTTGTCGACACCATCATCAAGAAGCTAGGATTATCCCAGACAACATTTGTCCTAACGGCAAAGGTGGCAGCGGAGGATGTCTCAAAGAGGTATGAGCAACAGGTCATGGAGTTCGGAAGCTCCTCGATCATGTTTACCCTCATAGCAACACTGGCAATGCTAAACCTCATCAGTCTAGCTGGAGCAGCAGTTAAGACTGTTATGCTTGTGGAGTACTTGAAGGAGATGGAGAGGTTAATCTCGCAAGTTGGTGTTTGTGCTTTA